TTGAAATGATATTAGATATACAAACAATTTACAGGGATCTAGCAGTTCTTCTCTCCTCCTGGTAAAAACCACTAGCTTAACAATGACAACTAAACTAAATAAAAAATCCTATCAGGTGAAACTAATTTACTCAAGGGGTGGCCATCCTCTACAGTTTGAAAATTGCAACAACAGGTAATCGTTTTTTAATCCAGCGTGGGCTGGGACTTATTTAAATAAACACAAAAATTTATCCTACTCTTTGGTAATCGTTCATTGGACTTTAATAAACAATCAAATCAAAAAATTTTTTACTATAGCTTAATTACCAAAAAGTGGAATTTTACAGAATGTTACAAATTTAATTAGACTAACCTTTACAACATTTGTACAGCCGATCTTGTGAACTGCTCTTTCCTCTGGTACAGGGTGGATGTGATGAAACCTGACACTTAGGTCTCTGTGACTTCCTAGGGGGTGGCTTGAAATTAACACACGGAAACAAAATCCACGGTGCCTATCCTTCCTCGGAACGAAAGCAAAGTTTAGCGTTTGAACTGAAACTTAGTCCAGGAAATCCTTCGCGTGGCGAGTGGGAGACGGCTAGTTGCCAAAGTTTCTACACAGCACGTGTATTTAATTTTATTTTATTAGTTTATTAGCTTTGACCGCCTGCGGGAGACGGATTTTTGAGTTAGCGGTACGGCAGAACACAAACTTTTATGATCACTATCCGACGGTAAACCGCAATGGTTCAAGGTATTATTTCACCAGCTCTTCTTGGGGCAAATATCTCTCCGAAACACAGCGCTCCTTCGACAAATGACCGTACGGCACTAGTAGGAAATTCCACCTGGGGCAGATCCCGAAATTCTGCGCCTTGAGGACTAGGGCAGCACTTTGACTTATATATCCTCGAGAAATCACAACGTATCCTAACGCGATTCACTGCATCCAAAGTAAACTGGGGTGAAGCTCAAGGGTTCGCCAAAATATCACCTGATTGGAACCTGGGTCTTCTTCGCCAAAAAATCAACGCGAAAAGAAAATAACACTTCGAAACGGGTGCAAAAAGCACGCAACTGCGAGCAACCGAAATAAGCCGGTGGCTCAAACCGCCAAGTGTACCAAAACGATCGCTCAAGGTACGTGTTGACCGCTTGACGTACTAACTGCGAGTCTCCCAAAACGATCCCTCAAGGTACGTGTCGACCCCTCGACGTACCAACCGCGAGTCTCTCCAAAAACGATCCCTCAAGGTACGTGTCGACCCCTCGACGTACCAACCGCGAGTCTCCTCTAAAACGATCCCCTTCTTCAGAATTGAAATGAAAAAACCACACCCAAATTACCATAAAACAAAAATGGCTCCCGCTAGAAATTCTCCCATTGGTTTAGATAAAGAAGACTTAACCCACTCTAACTTCGTCGTCAACCTCAAGGAACTGCTGACTAAACTGATCTCACGGTTTTCTGCTGATGACGTGAAAACTCCTTATCTCTTGATGGGTCGGTGCTACATCCGCTCCTATTCTCGGTCTAGACGGCGCCAAAGTTGATAAACGAACGACAAAAAACTCACATTACTCATGATGACGTCAATCAGCTTTGCACTCTTCCCACGACGAAATTAAATCTGAGCGAAATTAAATCTATCGGACCATAGTCTTGAGCGAACCTAAATGCCCAAACACAAAATTTCTAACCGGAACAAATAATGAAATATACAGGGTGACCTTCACTATCATGACAAGAAATTTCGAAATTTTTAATGAAATTTGGCGCGAAATCAAACCACTCGTTACAATCTGACAGTTTTTTGAATTTTATCGTTCCCGCTTTATGCATTTCTAAAAGGAGAGAAACGCATGTTGCACCTCTGAAATGTTTTACCGCGAATCTTAGCAATTAAAATAGCACAAAGACGAGACCTCGCGAGTGGATGCACATGCTGTTGTAGGAAAAAAGATAAAGCGGCGATATTGCATTTTTTGTGGCATGCACTCTACATGTTTGATTCGCAAATATAGGTAAATGTATCCTTTATTTTCCTTTGTAATTACTGTAATTAGCGTAGGATGTAGGGTAATTGCTTGGTATTACTAGCGTGTCGATTGTTAAGGTGTTTACTTTTATAAATTTGAATTTGCAAGACCTTATGAAACATTGCGCGAGGTTCGTAATAGTTATTTAGGTACATAAATGTCAGGAAAATGGCACGTTACTGGCGAGGAAATATTGAAGTATAAGGCCCTTTTGGGGTCGAGTACTTAAATTTCCGAGTCAAGTAATGCCATTTTACTGACGAGTTTTGTATTAAATTTTACTCACAATCGGTTAGTATTATCTGAATTCCTAACCTTCATAGCGGTTGCGAAGCGACTCATTACTCACCTTAGCCGGGAAAGTAACTTTCCCGGCTAGCTGTCACTTTCCCGGCTAGCATCTGTCACTTTCCTTACCTGCAAATGCTATTCATATTATCCTTATATGAAACTTATACTAATAGTGACACCGCCAATGTAACCATTAATGTTTACAACAATAGCAAATTACGAAGAAGAACGAAACTATTTGCTATTGTTGTAAACATTAATGGTTACATTGGCGGTGTCACTATTATTGACAGTTAAAGTTAAAGTTAAAAACACCTTGTTGAATTATATACTTTACCTTAAATGATCGATTGTGAGTAAAATAGTATACAAACCTCGCTGGTCAGTGGTTCATAACCAACGCCTCGCGCTTATACCTCACCGACGCGCGAAGCTACCTTAAGCCCTCGGGGTAGGTAATGAACCACCTCCCAGCTCGGTATGTTTAATGTTAAAAAATTTCAATTTTCATATAGAACTTTTGATTAGTGCCATTCTGCCATTGATGACATTTAGCAATGTGACAGGTGCGGCAGCAAAAGTGACAGGTGCGGCCGGTAAAGTGACAGGCGGCAGGAATTTGTTAGAAATAGCACTGACGTAGTGTTCTAATGATCTAATGTACGTAGCAGTTTCATTAAATATTCCTTTCCTTTAGCTTAATAATTGTTGTTGTCCTGTTTTGACTTCAGGGGTTAGATAGATTATTTGTTAGTAGATAGGATGGAATTTTCCATAGGTGGTGATGACTTAAATTTGAGATTAATATACATGGTGTTTAGATAATTTATAGTATCTTTAGTAGCTTTTCACATGTAATTTATGTTTTAACCATTCGCAGGAAGGTGGCTTCAAAATTCAGTTCCAGATGATGTGTACGATGGGTCGGAGGATTTTGTTTGCTTTATATGGGGGCGTAATATATTGGTTGAATTTGTTTACAATTGTATTTTGCCGCTATCTTATTGAGCCTAAATGCCAAATATGATACTTTTCCATGACTCCTGAATATTTGAATTTTGATGTTATATTAAAACTGTTGTGGATTAGTAGAAGACCGACACTTACCCCCACCACTTTCTGTGACGTCACGGAGACCTTGGGTTTTTCCCAAGGTCGTGGCCTTGGGTTTTTCCCTGACCTTGGGTTTTTCCCAAGGTCGTGGCTTTGGGTTTTTCCCAAGGTCGTGTCTTTGGGTTTTTCCCAAGGTCGTGGCTTTGGGTTTTCCCAAGGTCGTGGCTTTGGGTTTTCCCAAGGTCGTGGCCTTGGGTTTTCCTCAAGATCATGGTTTTGAGGTTTTTCCAAGATCGTGACTTTGGTACAGGATCATGGTCTTGGATCCTGGGGCAGGGTTGTGATTATGGATTCTGGATCAAGGTCGTGGTCCTGGATGCTGAGTTGAGATTGTGTGATTTGGATTCTGGGATTTGAGTTGGACTAAAATTGTGCTCTGGGATTTTCCTAGCGAATTTAAAAGAGAGAAGTGTAGAGAAAAATAAGAGATGTTGTATTACAAAGAAGAAGAAGAAGAAGAGGAAAAAGCAAAGCGAGAAGCAAGCAAAACAAGAAAATATTTGTGTACTTACTTTTTCTTAGTTTTTGTTTGAAAATCCTTGTTTTTTCCAAGTTTATCCACACACACACACACACACCCTAACATATAAGAAAGAGAGATGCACAGATTAGCACTGTATAATTACGTAAACTGCAGTAGATTATGCGAGGCTAATAAAACTTGTAACAATACGTTAGGTGATGTTAATGAGTCGGTAGTCAAATACTAACTGAAATTAGAGCGTACATTTCTTATTTGGGTATTTCCCGAGGCCATTGCAATGGGTTTCCTCAAGTCATGGCCTTGGACTATGAACTTGTCGTAGCATTGGGTTTTTCCCAAGGTCATGGTCTTGGACTTTGACCTCCCCAAGGTCATGGTCTTGGACTTTGACCTCGAGTTTTTCCAGGGTCGTGGTCACGTAGTCGACCGCTATGCTTTAAACCAACTTACTTATCAAATGCATTTAAGATATCCACACTCAACGGGGGGGCTGCACGAGGTCACTACTAAGAAGCTGTATCAATCTAGTTGGTAATAATCGATGTTAATTTCTTAACTACTGTCGCTTACTAAGCGAAATAAGAAAGGAATTGAAAAAATGCAATTAAGAAGGTGTAGTTGGAAAAACAAATTAAGCTGTGCTAGTGAAAGTATTTGTGTAATGACATACGGTGGAACTCAACGACAAATTATTCAAAACGCTGCTAATTGTAAACGATCAGAAGGCCAAAATAAATTCTCATCAATCTTCTTAGTTTTTTCTTGTAGCCAAGTAGTGGGTAATGATCCTGTACCATTTCCACAGAATTTGCAAATTTTTGTTACGAGTTTTGTAAATCGAGACAATCACAAAAATTCACGGTATTGCGAACGAGTATTGTAATAAAACGAGTACGTAATAGGCTTCTCTTCAAGATGCACTTCAGCCACGTCCTACAAGCATATTAATCGGATATTTTGCTCGGGGCTATATGCCCGGAGCGATATTCTGATTGTAAACCGAAACGTAGTAGTCTTGAATGTTTGTGAAAAACTGGGTATCAAGTTTATCTACTTACAAAGTTTTGTACGATACGCGCGAAAATCGTTGTGTAGTTGTAATTTTTTTCCACTTTTTCGAATATTCAAAATTGTTGATGAAATAAAATTAAAACACAAAAGTTTTGATTTGAAGTTATGTGATGGTCTTTTTTCAGAAAAGTAGAGTAGTTTGAATTATATAAAAATGAGGAGATGAGGTACAAAATGTTAATTTTCGCTAAGTTCAAATTATTATTCAATTTTAAAAGCGATTGCTGTTTTCTGATATTGAACTTTTATATGTATTTATGGAAGATAGCACGTGTGTGGTATATGTTTCAAGATAGAGATTGTAAAAAAAAATCGAATTTAATTTTATTTAATTAACTTGTTCAATTTTCTTAGTTTTTTTCTTATAGCCAAGTAGTGGGTAATGATCCTGTACCATTTCCTCAGCGAGGAGATTGTGAAAGAAATAAACAATCATGTGATTTTGGAACGTATATTACGACTGGAGTATTACAATCTTACCAAACGAGTATCGGTTCAAGTAAAAACGCCTCTAGCGATATTAGGTTTCTCAGAACGGTTAGCGTTGCAAATGGGTTATAGACCAGATCAAAATATTACACAGGATCCTTTGTCATTACACCCTGCAAGTATATGGATAGGTTTACCGTCGCAAATGTTTATCTACAGTGATATTGTTGAACCGCAAATTGTCGGCGATGTTTTATCACCACTGATGAGAATAGTTAACATAACATCTGAAAATTACAGTTACGGTAATCATAAGGAGGTTGTATTTTCGCCGACACATTACATGCCCGTGATGATAAAAGAATTTGAGAATATTGAGATAAATATAAGAACCGATACAGGGACTTATATGCCATTCGAAATTGGTACCTTGAGCGTAAAGTTGCATTTCAAGAAAATTAAATGGGGTGTCCCTATCAACAATATTATGTAAATCAGGCCGGTACGGGCATCGGTACGATTTACAGAGGTTCACCGTACCAGAGAGGTCACGGAATTGGTAGCTGGCTGGGCGGTGTGTTTAGAAGTATATTACCGCTGTTTAAGTCGGGAATACGGGCTGTAGGAAAAGAAGCTTTAAGAACGGGCACTAACGTTTTAGGTGATATAATTGAAGATAAACCGATCAAGGAATCGTTTCAGGAAAGAATTCACGAAGCAGGGAGAAATCTTAAGAGGAAAGCCGACGAAAAAATTGATACTCTAATGCAGGGATCTGGATATAAGAGACCACACATAGTCTCTTACGGTCAGTTCAGTCCCGCAGAGCCTAAGAAGACGAGGAAGAAGACTTCAACGGTGAAAAAAGGAAAGCCTGTGCAAAGAAAAACTAAATTTAGTGACATATTCTCATCAAAACAATAGTAAATATGGCTTTCCTGCACGCCCAGTCATGCGAATGCATTAAATCGGAGTTGGACTTATTCGCACTCCCCGCAACCCAAACAAGCATCGAAGGTGGTGAATGGATATTTTACAAGCCTTTATCTTCACTAACAGATGACGCCCCAATAGAATTTGTAGTACCCGGAAACGGTAATGATTATTTGGATCTAAGTCATACTATGCTATATATAACAGCAAAAATTGTAAAACAAGACGACTCGGTATTAGGGGATGCGGATATTGTCGCACCCGTCAATAATTGGTTACATTCGCTGTATAGTCAGGTGGAAATCTATTTGAATCAAAAACTAGTATCGCCATCAAACAATACCTATGCATATCGCGCATATATCGAAACCGTACTAAATTATGGATCCGAAGCTAAGTCAACACATCTTGGCTGCTCATTATGGCACAGCGATACAGCGAAACAGATGGATACTTTAACGGCTGATAATAAAGGTTTCGCAAGTCGTCAGGCATTCACAAAACTAAGCAACACTGTTGAAATGATGGGACACATCCATTCGGATTTGTTTAATCAAGAGAAGTTTCTAATCAACGGTGTTGAGATGAAAGTTAAATTTGTACGATCAAGAGACTCATTTAGTTTGATGGCTGTAGCTGGATCAACATATAAAGTTAAAATTACCGATGCAAACCTATTGATACGCAGAATGAAGATTAATCCTACAATACTTCTAGCCCACGCCGAAGCATTAGAAACATCACCAGCTAAATATCCAGTTACCAGAACAGACGTAAAAGTTATAACAATTCCTTCAGGTCTACAACGCAAATCATTGGATAACATATATCTTGGACAGCTCCCGAAACGATGCATAATAGGCTTCGTTTCAAATAAAGCATTTAACGGCGATTACGCTTCGAATCCGTACAATTTCCAAAACTACAAAATCAACTATATGTCACTGTATATCGATGGACAACAAATTCCTTCAAAGCCTCTACAACCTACATTCAGTCAGACTCAGGATGGTCTTTATGTGCGCGCATACCACACTTTATTTTCGGGCAGCGGTATTCATTTTTTGAATGAAGGTAATAACATTTCGCGACTTGATTATCCACACGGTTATTGTTTGATGGCCTTTGATCTCACTCCCGACTTGGCGGCAAATGCAAGCACACACTGGAATCTAGTAAGAAATGGTTCATTGCGAATAGAGGTGGGCTTCCAAGATGCACTAACCGAGACTGTCAATTGTCTCGTTTACGCCGAATTTGATAACGTAATTGAAATTGATAAGCATAGAAATGTCATCGCCGATTTCAATAGTTAGGTAATTTCGGAGGGGAACATTACATAAATAAATTATTTTATACAATCGTCCGGCAGTTTTTCAAGAGAACTTGTTCAGATATGACCGGTAAAGTTGCATTTATCGACGTACAAGGGTTTCGTGGAAATAACGAGCAGTTTATTCCAAAAGAATTTGCTGCTGTTACGGAAGATGGTAATATCGCCACTTTACTAATCAAACCACCGGCCAAATACTCAACTTTATCATCGGCTGCAAGAAAAACAGCAAATTATCTTGAAAAATGTCACCACGGGTTGCGTTGGAGTTCGGGCTTCGTACCTTTTCAAGATTTCGAACGAGAAGTTGTACGTCTATTGGATTCGTACAATACGTTCTACGTAAAAGGTTTAGAAAAGTGCAATATATTTAGGTTTCTAAACAAACCAGTCGTGAATTTAGAGGAAAACGGTTGTCCATCTCTGAAACAATTGAAAAAAGAAGCTCAAGCTTATCGCTGTCTACATCATAATAATATTGAGGAACCGGTGTGCGCCTTAGAAAATTCTTTACTTCTGCAAGATTGGATGCAATCAAATTCTCGAGATGAATGCGGTACAGGTGCTGAAAAATTTGAAATTGATACCGTATGTGAAGAAGAAGAAGAGTGTATATCGAGTTGTATGTGCTGCTGACCGATTACCGAAACACGCTCCTAGACCTTGCGCGATTATAGTAAACACGGATCCAGCTCATCGTCCCGGCGAACATTGGATAGCCATCTACATTGACGAGAATGGCATTGGAGAATATTTCGATTCATTTGGACGATCACCGCAAAACTATTACTATCATTTGAAATTTATAGAGAACAATTCTGTATACTTTCGATACAACGACATCGTGCTTCAAGATTTTCATTCGGATGTGTGTGGTCTTTACTGTTTAATGTACCTTTACTTTAGAGCTTATAATATGTTAATGAGGGATTTTGTAGATATTTTCACTACACGTTTAATTCAAAACGATGAAATAATTAAGTATTTATTTTATACTTGTTTTTGTATGACTACATTTCATTAATCAATAAAATCTTTTTCCTGATAAAACATCTTCATTTGACTTGGGGCGACTACACAAGAAGGATCCCAATCGTAACTTCGAACTGGTAAACAATGCTACGACAAGTTCATAGTCCAAGGCCATGACTTGAGGAAACCCATTGCAATGGCCTCGGGAAATACCCAAATAAGAAATGTACGCTCTAATGGTCAAAGTCCAAGACCACGACCTTGGAAAAACTCGAGGTCAAAGTCCAAGACCATGACCTTGGGGAGGTCAAAGTCCAAGACCATGACCTTGGGAAAAACCCAATGCTACGACAAGTTCATAGTCCAAGGCCATGACTTGAGGAAACCCATTGCAATGGCCTCGGGAAATACCCAAATAAGAAATGTACGCTCTAATTTCAGTTAGTATTTGACTACCGACTCATTAACATCACCTAACGTATTGTTACAAGTTTTATTAGCCTCGCATAATCTACTGCAGTTTACGTAATTATACAGTGCTAATCTGTGCATCTCTCTTTCTTATATGTTAGGGTGTGTGTGTGTGTGTGGATAAACTTGGAAAAAACAAGGATTTTCAAACAAAAACTAAGAAAAAGTAAGTACACAAATATTTTCTTGTTTTGCTTGCTTCTCGCTTTGCTTTTTCCTCTTCTTCTTCTTCTTTGTAAAATTTGAAATGTATGGATTACCATTTTCTAAGAGTATGTACTTAGATTAGGTTTGTAATACAGCATCTCTTATTTTTCTCTACACTTCTCTCTTTTAAATTCGCTAGGAAAATCCCAGAGCACAATTTTAGTCCAACTCAAATCCCAGAATCCAAATCACACAATCTCAACTCAGCATCCAAGACCACGACCTTGATCCAGAATCCATAATCACTTTTGTGTTTTAATTTTATTTCATCAACAATTTTGAATATTCGAAAAAGTGGAAAAAAATTACAACTACACAACGATTTTCGCGCGTATCGTACAAAACTTTGTAAGTAGATAAACTTGATACCCAGTTTTTCACAAACATTCAAGACTACTACGTTTCGGTTTACAATCAGAATATCGCTCCGGGCATATAGCCCCGAGCAAAATATCCGATTAATATGCTTGTAGGACGTGGCTGAAGTGCATCTTGAAGAGAAGCCTATTACGTACTCGTTTTATTACAATACTCGTTCGCAATACCGTGAATTTTTGTGATTGTCTCGATTTACAAAACTCGTAACAAAAATTTGCAAATTCTGTGGAAATGGTACAGGATCATTACCCACTACTTGGCTACAAGAAAAAACTAAGAAGATTGATGAGAATTTATTTTGGCCTTCTGATCGTTTACAATTAGCAGCGTTTTGAATAATTTGTCGTTGAGTTCCACCGTATGTCATTACACAAATACTTTCACTAGCACAGCTTAATTTGTTTTTCCAACTACACCTTCTTAATTGCATTTTTTCAATTCCTTTCTTATTTCGCTTAGTAAGCGACAGTAGTTAAGAAATTAACATCGATTATTACCAACTAGATTGATACAGCTTCTTAGTAGTGACCTCGTGCAGCCCCCCGTTGAGTGTGGATATCTTAAATGCATTTGATAAGTAAGTTGGTTTAAAGCATAGCGGTCGACTACGTGACCACGACCCTGGAAAAACTCGAGGTCAAAGTCCAAGACCACGACCTTGGAAAAACTCGAGGTCAAAGTCCAAGACCATGACCTTGGGAAAAACCCAATGCTACGACAAGTTCATAGTCCAAGGCCATGACTTGAGGAAACCCATTGCAATGGCCTCGGGAAATACCCAAATAAGAAATGTACGCTCTAATTTCAGTTAGTATTTGACTACCGAGTCATTAACATCACCTAACGTATTGTTACAAGTTTTATTAGCCTCGCATAATCTACTGCAGTTTACGTAATTATACAGTGCTAATCTGTGCATCTCTCTTTCTTATATGTTAGGGTGTGTGTGTGTGTGTGGATAAACTTGGAAAAAACAAGGATTTTCAAACAAAAACTAAGAAAAAGTAAGTACACAAATATTTTCTTGTTTTGCTTGCTTCTCGCTTTGCTTTTTCCTCTTCTTCTTCTTCTTCTTTGTAATACAACATCTCTTATTTTTCTCTACACTTCTCTCTTTTAAATTCGCTAGGAAAATCCCAGAGCACAATTTTAGTCCAACTCAAATCCCAGAATCCAAATCACACAATCTCAACTCAGCATCCAGGACCACGACCTTGATCCAGAATCCATAATCACAACCCTGCCCCAGGATCCAAGACCATGATCCTGTACCAAAGTCACGATCTTGGAAAAACCTCAAAACCATGATCTTGAGGAAAACCCAAGGCCACGACCTTGGGAAAACCCAAAGCCACGATCTTGGGAAAAACCCAAAGCCACGACCTTGGGAAAAACCCAAAGACACGACCTTGGGAAAAACCCAAAGCCACGACCTTGGGAAAAACCCAAGGTCAGGGAAAAACCCAAGGCCACGACCTTGGGAAAAACCCAAGGTCTCCGTGACGTCACAGAAAGTGGTGGGGGTAAGTGTCGGTCTTCTACTTGGATTGGATCTCGAAATTCCTAACTCCATATTATAATGAGACAGGTTATCTCCTATCCAAAGGCGGGCGCCTGAGCCTAAACCACGAAAATAAACCCTGAACACACCCCCATATAATATTACCATGGGACAGCTCTAGTTACCCAAATTCTTCGTATTCTTCGTGCCGTGACCAGGATTTGGCTTTGGTAGCTACCTACAAGGTAGCGTATCGGTAACTTTGTGTCTTATGAACGAGCCATTGCGAAATGTCTTTAATAACTCCTGTCATCACTGACAGATTGACAATTAAACGTTCTATATGAAAATCGAAATTTTATATTAAAATACGATATCGGGTAAAATGTAATACAAAATTCGTCACTCGCCAGTAAAATGACACTACGTAAGTCGGAAATTGAATTACGAGGCAGCTTTGGGGCCGAGTATATTTCATCGCCAGTAATGTGTCATTTTCCTGCCTGTTATGTACGTAACTATTACCCGAAATCGTATTTTAATATAAAATTTCGATTTTCATATATACCTCTCGCCAGGAAAGTTTGCCGGTCACAGAACACTTGATCCCGGTCTACAATCTATGTTTTTCTAAAGACGTGAGTGACTTCCGGAATAGTATCGTGTCAATGTTGAACAATAAGACTTTTCGTTCAACATTGGAACGATCCTATCCCGGAAGTCGCTCGCATCTTAAGAAAAACATACATTGTAAATCAACATAAGGTGTGCTGTGACCGGCAATCTTTCCTGGCGAGAGTTATAGAACTTTTGATTAATGTCAATCTCTCAGCGGCCGGAAAAGTGAAAGGTGGGGCCGGTAAAAGGACAGGTGGCAACAACGGTAGTCTGGTCCTTAGAGAAGGAAATAGGAAAGAGGAGGAAGGAAAGAGTGAGGAGTGATAATAATGATCGTAAAGTGAAGCCCACATTTGTTTGTTATTTCACCGAAAACTAACCTATGTGAAACGATAAAACTTTCGTGTGTTTTTTGGCTATCACTTCCGTACACTACAATGTACCATTTGAAATTAGTGAATACCTATCCAACTAAATTGTCCTGTGATCAAGAAATTATGTTAACTAAAAAAAAATATTTATGTATATATACTTACTGTGATAACTATCATTACTTGTTTGCCGTAAATTTATATATATGCTTACTGTGATAGTTTTATCACGAGTTTTATCATTACCTGTTTGTCGTTAATCTTACTGTTTGTTTGTCTGTTTACAATTTGACTTATCTTATCCATGTACCTACTAAATGGCTAAAAGATGAAATATATTATTATTATTAAACCATTGTCCAATAATGTTTTTAATCGCACACTTCGAGACTTAAGGATCGCATAAAGACATGACAAGTTAAAAAGTAATCGTAAACGATTTACATAAAGCGCATTTCCACTTGCATTCATTTCCCATTTGTAAGATGCAACTTCTATAAAATCGTAAAAATCCGGCCACAAATATGAAAGATAGCGTTGCACATGGGCAATCCATTTTTGTCGTGCTACTTCAATGTCAGTTTATGAGAAGAATTTCATTTCAATGCTTTTCTAAATAAGAAAGTTGGAACTGCGCATGCGCAAACCTAAATTTTGAAACTAATGTTAGATTTTCCTTTGTTCCAAGCGCCTAAATATCAAATTTCACTTAAATGCTTCCATAGATAAAAAAGTTGGCACTGCGCATGCGCAAAATAAAATTTTGAAATTGGCAGTTGATTTTCCTTTATTCCAAGTGCCTATGTATCAAATTTCATTCAAATGCTTTTATAAGTAAAAAATTTTGCAATTCGGTTTATAAATGGTCGAAATGCGAAAAGGGCACTGTGAATTTTGAATCGATTCGATTCAACTTTTGGCATTGCGTATTATATGGCTAAAGCTATGGCCATATTGAATTTCATGCAATTCAGTTCATAACTAACGGAGATGTAAAAGTGATCGAACATTTCTAAACAAAGTTATCGTTCACACGGACAGATAGATGGACAGACAGACAAAGGAACAGACGGACAGACCAACAGGCAGACGACAGATAGCAATGCAAAATTATAAACGATCTCTAGGATCGTTAATAACGGCAAAAGTAAAATTATGGAACATGTAAAAAACGGTTTTTTGTTTTTTTTACAATAACTTTTTTTGTAAGCGGTACAGAAAAAATTCCTTCCTTGGTACAAGACTCGACACCATAACGTACCAAATAGCGAAAAAAGTAGAACAATAGCTCTTAAGATAAACTACTAGTAGCGTCGCAAAACGAGCGGACGGACGGACGGACAAAGTGGCCACAATAGCGCATTTTTTTTTATTTTTGTGGAAATGCGCTAAAAATGAAAAAGTAAACCAACTTTGGCTCCGAAAATATGGCCGCCCCAGGCTTCAACGCGCAGCATTGCCCTTGGTAGGATATTATCAGTCCCCTTTCTTTCATACTCTAAGGTCTGGTCTGCCTCTGTCTAGGAAATTAAAATTTCCTGGCATAAAGTAGGCATGAAAATGTAGGTTTCATGACGATTTTGGGGAAATTATTTTACAACGGGACGCAACATTCCTATACCTAC